TTCTCAGCCTCTGCTTCCCGCTCGGCCTGCTTCCGTTTTCGCCTCTCCTTCTTGCTGAGTCTGGGGGTGGTGTCCTTGGGTTCCTGCGCGGGGCGACGGGTCAGCGTGGTGCTATGGGCTCGGCGGCAGCCGGGCTAGAAATTGCATGACGTAGGGAGCTCACCTGGCTGCTGCGGACGTAGTAGACGGCACCGGCGGTGGTCACGACGACAGCCACACCGGCAATGGTGTAGACGACGGCCTTGTGCTCCGAGACCCATGTCGAGATGCGATCCCACAGCGACGAGTCGGCCGGTAATGGTGCAGACGGGGTCCCCATGGGACCGGCAGGCTGGGTGGGCGCCATCGCGGTTTGTATTGATTATTTGTCGGTGATACCGAATTTCTCGAGCGAAGGACGACAACAATTAAATTGTTCCTCCTGCGCAGATAAGCTGGGAAGGCGGGCGATGGTGCGAGCCGAGGTGGTATGCGGCCGACGAGCTGGAGATGCGATTGTTGATGATGCAGGTGCGCATCAGAATTGTATGGAAGCTGGTTCGCCGGGGCGGGCACTTGCTCGGCCGAAGCTTGGAATAAAAAAAATCGCTGCGGATCAGCGCACCCAGCAGCACCAATTGCAGCGCTCCAGTGGGCCGTCACGCTGTTTTCCCGGAACTGCCCGCTCAATCCTGGTCGCCAACCCCAAGCTCCAGCTTTGCCCGTTTGGGATGGTGATGATGGAACATGGAGAGAGATAAGATGGGGGAGCCGCCTTTCATGGCGCCATGAATGGATCGAGTCACAGAAAGGGTGTCGCAGGAGAGAGGCTCAGTGGATTGATGAGCATTTTGGTGTCTTGATATTCTTCTTCATATTTAGGCCACGCTCACACAGTTCACCTCACACAAAGTTGGAGCTCATTCTTTCATCCCGCTCACGCACTCATTTCATGCTCAAGGATCTCTCACCCTCTTAACCATAACAATGGCAGACGACTTCCAGATCTTTACCTCCCTACGCTATGACCCAGTTCTGCTCGAGGTGCCCACCAGCACTCTCAGCGGCCTCGCCCTTTCTGGCTGGAATCGGGAGCACTCTTCTCCTTTCTACCTGTTGGACTACCACCGGGACCGCATGCTGCAGGCTGCAGTCCATTGGGGCTGGGAAGATGCTGTCAGTATCTTAAGCGGCGATACTGGCCTGAAAAGATTGGTGAATCTCATGATGTCCTCCATTGGGGAGGGCCAACAGTCTCCTTTGAAAGTGAGAGTGGCCATCACAAAGGACGGCCACTTGAGCGTGACTTCCAACCCAGTCCCAGAGAAACCACTGGCGAATCTTTTCCCTGAACAGCTCCCAATTCCAGGGGTTGCGGGTTTATCAACGGATGGGGCAAGTGGGACTGCTCCCTCGAGATGCCCAGAGTACGAAATTCTAGTCGACTCCTCCAAAACGACTTGGTCCGATCACAGCCATTTCAAGACAACCAAGCGGATCGCCTACGACGCCGCGCGGCAGCGGGCGCGGATCAACCTTCCTGACTTGAAGGAGGTTCTCATCGTAGACGAGGCCGACGGCGCTGTCATGGAAGGCTCCACGACGACGCCCTACTTTTGGAGGGAAGGAGGATGGGTCACGCCGGCCGTGAAGGAGTACCATGCAAACCAAGGGAGCGGCGGCCAGAACGGCACCTCGAGGAGATGGGCGCTCGAGAGGTGTGTCAACTTTTCTATTGATACCGAGGGTACAGCTAACCGGGCATAGGGGAATTGCGACCGAGGGTACAATCCTCGCTGACTCTCTCGTGGATGGCGAGGAGTGTTGGTTGAGCAGTGGCGTCAGGGGTTTTTTTTTCGGAAGGATCAAGCTCGACTGATGCCCTCGACAAGGACGGGCTTCTGTGAAACAAGCTTTGGAGCAACAGCCTTGGGTGGCCTTGCTCAATTCTGAGAGCGGACATCAAGTGTCAACTCAAGGCCGAGGCCGAGGAAGGTGCTGTCTGAGGGCTGAGTCCCAGACCCAACATCAAAGTCACGGTTCCTTCCCTATACCTTCGTTGTTTCTACAGAGTCATGGCCGGCATCACAACCTGGAAGGTCATCAGCCTGTTTTTGCCCTTCGCCTTCGCGTCATGGGAACCGTCGAGGTGTTCGTGATGACCCCTTTCAGTCAAGCAACTCGCAATGCTCTCATGTTGTTCTTTCCCATCGTCCTTATGACACGAAATGACTCGACCTTGCCCGACTAACCCGCTCTTGCTCTTACCATTTGGCGAAACGGTCTGCTGTTTTTCGTCCTACTTCAGGTCCAGCTTGTTGCCCTCGTTCTCCTCACCCTCCCTCGCCTGAATCTCGGGTTCTGAAAGCTTTTCATCAGCAACACGGATCTTTTCTCTGCCCACCTCAACAAGTCCCGTTGATCTCAGTCTTTTCTTTTCAACGTCTAACAACAACCATCTCGCCCTACCACTTACTTCAAACGCAACTCCATCCATCAACAATGGAGGACCTTTTGCGCACCCAGTCCAAGCTGCGCGAGGAGCGGGGCCTGCACAAGGTCAAGGCCGTTCCCAATCCCAACTACAAACGCCATGGCACCAAGTCATACGTCTACGCTCTGAACCGATTCCGCTTCCAGCCCACAAAGCCGGGACCGTATTTCCAGAAGTACAAGGAGACCCAGGACAAGGAGCCGATCCGCAAGTACCTGGGTCTCTACAAAAGAAGCCGCGTGGAGGAGCACGAGCCCGGCTTTGTTACCGCTGAGGACCAGCAGAACGATTCCGAGTACCTGTGCGAGATCACCATCGGCACTGAGCCTCAGAAGGTCACTTTGGATTTTGACACCGGCTCTGCTGATCTCTGGGTATGGCATCTCTGAACTCTCCTGTCGAGCCAGTATTGACAGAGGTAACAGGTCAGCCAAAAGGCCTTCATCTCCGAGAAGTCGACGACGTTCAAAGTCGCCAAGGACCAGAGCTGGAGGATCCAATACGGTGACGGAAGCTCGGCCTCAGGCTTTGTTGGCACAGATGTCATTTCTCTGGGTGGTCTCAAGATCGAAAATCAGGCCATCGAGGTCGCGAAGCAGATGTCCGCCCAGTTCAGCGAGGGTACCATGGACGGCCTCCTCGGCCTGGCCTTCAGTACCATCAACACCATTGAGGCAGGCGGCAAGCCCAGCCCCCAGCCAACCCCCGTCGATAACATGATCTCCCAGAAGGATATTCCCGCGGATGCCGAGCTGTTTACATCGGCCATGTACAGTACCAGAGACGGCGGTGAGCAGTCATTCTACACGTTCGGCTGGATCGATGAGGAGCTCGTCAAGCAGTCCGGCGAGGATATCACCTGGACCAACATCGACAACTCGGAGGGCTTCTGGATGTTTTCGAGCAGTCACGCCGTTGTGAATGGCGAGAAGGTCAGAACCCGCAGGAACAGAGCGATTGCCGACACTGGCACGACCCTCGCCCTGGTTTCGGACGAGGTCTGCGAGGCGCTTTACGCCCAGATCAAGGGTGCAGAGTACAACTACGAGTACCAGGGCTACATCATCCCCAAGACGGTCACGCTCGAGGACCTCCCTGAGTTCAAGATTGCCGTCGGCGACCATGACTTCCTCATCCAGAAGGAGGACTTGCTGTTCGCGCCGGCTGATGACAACTCCTGGTACGGTGGTGTCCAGTCCCGCGGCGAGAACCCCTTTGACATTCTCGGCGACACCTTTCTCAAGTCAATTTACGCTGTAAGCTAACAAGCCGGGTTGGTAATGTCAGTACTGACTGGAGAGCAGATTTGGGATCAGGGCCGCAAGCGCTTTGGAGCCGTCCCAAAGATCCAGAAGACTCAGAGCCTTGAGTGGCCCGGTATGCCGGCCAATGGCAATGGCAATGGTAACGGTGATGGCAGCTCGTCTTCGAATGGCAATTCATCTAACCCCAAGGGGCCGTCAGGCAACGGCACTTCGTCCAAGGGCTCCGAGGGCCAGAACGGGAAGAAAGACCAAGAACCCTCCAACAACGGCACCTCGTCGAATGGCAACGGTACCTCGTCGAATGGCAACGGTACCTCGTCGAATGGCAACGGCATCTCGTCGAATGGCAACGGCACGTCGCCGAACGACGGCGAGGCTCGACGCATGAAGAACAGGCCCGCCAAACCCTCAGTGGACGAGCAACCGCGTGCTCCTCGTCGTGAGCTCGTCACGCCGACCAAGGCCTGGCAAGACATTTCAGCGCCATTCCGGGACATGAGGGAGTAGATACGTCTCGGTGCTTGGTTGGTGTGCATCTGTCTTGCCAACGTGGGTGTTTGGACCTGGACGCAGTGGTGATAGTGTTATTTGGGAGTGAAATAGGTGGTATGCTCTCCGCTCTTTTTTTTCTGTCGAGCAGTTCCCGTAGTCGTACTGTCTTAGGGTCTTTTGTTAAATTGAAAATACAGAGCTTTACGCACTTAGACCCTCAACGTTCATCTTATCTCTTCTGCCAAATGATTTAATACCAGCACGCAACCAACGCGGTCAACATGCCGTGAGACTGAAGTGCTGAGCCCTTTAAAGAAGGGAGATGTTCTGTCACCCCCAAGCAGTGTTGACCAAGGCGGCGAGATGTTCGCCACGTGGGACCAAGCCTCAACAAACTGATATGATGGCAAAAATGAACAAATGTCTCCTCCCTCTGTACATAGAGAACCAAAGACCCCATAAGAACTTACGTCTGTGGACGGAAGAATAAACCTGTATTATCTGATTCCCAAAGAGAGGTAAATTCTCACGAGCTGCGCAAGCACAGATTGAATACATCATCTCCACGGCAACTGTGAAAAAAGAGACCTTCTGGGTCCCCATGGATGTCTAGAGAACTCAATGCCTCAGCTCAACAAGGTCCTTTTTTTGTTTTTTTGTCCATGTAAGGGTAAGGGCAGCAGATACTAATGAGCAAGCGGCGGTAAAACTTGACATGAAAAGGGGCAACGAACAAAAGCAGGTGGTAAAAAAAACACACAAAAACAATCTGACAAGGGCGAGATTCGAACTCGCGCCCCATTTCTGAGACCAGGAGATACACTTCCACAGAAACTGCGAGAGAGAAAATTCAGGTGAGCCTGAACCTGGCGCCTTAGACCGCTCGGCCACCTTGCCGGTTTGATGAATGTTTTTCTAAGGGTTGTTGTGGATATGAGGAGGAGGAAGGTGGGGAGATGAGGGCTTTTACTGTGTGGATGGGGAGGGGGGAGGGGAACTGAGGGTTGGATATCCACTCGACTTGGTTGGCTCGGTTGGGTTGATAAGATTATCGAGGTGGACGACAGGGAGACGGGAGAGGATGTGTTGTTACTATCAGTGAATGAGACAGTCGAGCGAGAGACGCCCATGGAAGTTGGTCATTATGGAACTTCCAGGTTGTGTGGACGCAGTTGGAAAGATGGTGGGATTCAAGCCAAGGAATCGAATGGGGGGCCAGACCCGGTCTGTAACCCCCTGCCCTCTGCTGTCGAGTTTAATGGGGCCAAAATGCTAGTCTTTAGAGTCATAAGAAGGAATGTCAAGTGGTGGCATTTCTTCAGAGAAACACCGGTAAGAGATAGAACTTCTGTTCCGGTGCTGTGTTCCCGATGAGTCCCACGACAGAGGTATCCTGGAACTTCTGGTGGGACGGGTCGGCGGTCAAGGGCTAGTTGAGCCTCAAATGAGGATGGTGTGTCAAGCTTCAGGGGCAGCTCGGAAAGGCTGTTGGGTACACAACTGTGAACTGGCACAACCAACGGTGCTTGAAACACCAATCAACTGCCGTATGCAGCATGAAGCTGGAGCCCGGCTGGCCCCGGATGGCGACTGTTTGGAGGGATATGCACCAGACAGGCTCAACTCTGCCTCAATGTGCGGTCGAGTCATAGAGTGGTGGGTATCGAGTGCAAAGCCTCACAACGGTGATACCCACCCCATCTGCATCGTCCACGAGCAAGTGCCGTCACGGAATGTGGTCGTCATAACGTCGTTTGGAGCCAATTTGGCCTGGCATGATCCCGGGGAAGGACCTATTCCGGCTCCCTCAGCTTAGGGGCAAGCCATCGCACCGGCCACAAGCTGCTGGTGGGATGACCTAAAGAGGACGTGCTCCGGGCAGGATATCCAGATCATCTCATGATTGTTGGAGCTGGCGCGTGCATATGGGTTGGGAACGGACTGCTGGCACGAGGAGTTGATGTCCCATCGAGGCTTGGCTTCGGTCGCCGCGGCTCGACGCGATTTTTGGACGCGACACAATGTTCTGGAAAGACGGCAGCGGCTTGGATTCCAGGCAGCCATGACCTTGTGCATCGTCGGGCTGGGTTGCTGCTCTGGCTGAGAGATGCGTGGCTGAAGCCATGTCCAGAGGATACCGAGTGTGACTCCTGCTGGCTGCGTGTGGTTACACCGGGAAGAGGGCAGAGAAGGACGACTGGTGGGACGCGGATAAAAGCGAGAAAGATGGGAGATTCTCGGGCATTTTTTTCTGGTTAAAGTGTCACATGAATGGATTGGAAAGCGCAAGAAGGAAACTGGAGGGATTGCTTGCAGGTGCTTCCAGTGCAGTTCCCTGCTGAGCTTGCATTGGTGTGGAGATTTGGGATCTCATCGTCGTCCTGGCAGGCCGCAAGGAACAAGCTAACCAGAAGCGGATTGACACGCGTTGTTCGCACCGTGCACTGTACTGTTTCAGTCAGCCCGAGCCACCGTCTGCCTCCCAATCTCAATCCAAATCGATCCCGCGAGGAGTCCAAAAAAAAAAGGACAACGCCATTCCTCGCCCAGCCTCGTTGGAACACATTTTCCCGCGCTTGCCACAACCACGGCACCCAATTCGGTTTTTTTTCTGGTCCTGTTGGAACTACACCGCGCCAGAAGAGTTACACACGGTCCTTCGTTCCAGTTCGCCCCAACGAGCTCCATTTATTTTTCATACCGGCACCACTCTCACCACAAGCAAGGGGCACGGTCGCTCCGGCAGGTCTGGACAACCCTGCTTCGACTTGCTCCAACTTGCTCAGCACTTGCTCAGCTCTTCCCATCCCGACCAGAGCTGCTCTTTGGCACTTTTACTGCCGCTCCAAAGCTCCAACACTTGCTCCTCGATCCGCCTTGGACTCGCTCCTTTTCGCCGAGTCCTGACGCGCTGCCGGCCCTGCCATCCAGCGTCGCTTGCTTGCATCGCAGGACGCTCCCGCCCGCAGGCATCATCCGCCCCTCGCCCTCTGCCGCGGGACAGAGACAAACAGAACGAAGGCCAACTCCGCAGAGACTCTACATCCTCCACCGCCAGCGCATGACCGAGGCGCCTCGACGTCATCGCAGCCCCCTGCACCTCCGCCCCTAGCTCCTCTCGATCTATCTTCCGATCGACCCATCCCCCGAGCCTGGTCCGCCGCCAAACACAATGGCCGCAGTGGGCGCAAGACGTAGGAAGGTCATCGGCCACCGCCGCCGGCTTGAGGACGAGGCCGAGGACGACGTCGGCCATGAGGTTTTGGGCGACCTCGACGACGATTCCGTGACTGATGGTTCTATCGGGACCGACGAGCATGACCCCGCCGACGACAGCGATACTAGCAACCTCGATGATGCCTCGCCCACATCTCCTACCGCCCGGAAACCCATAGGCAACGGCCACGCGAAGCACGGTTTTCGCCGTCGCACTGGTTCCGCTCCCGTCAATAGTCCAGTTGCAAAGCCAGTGCAGCCCACAATAGCAGACGCCGAGTCCATGCTGAGCAAGCTGACGCTTGCCGATAAAGGGGACGACGCCGACGATATCCACTTTGACAACCTCGAAGAAGCGCCGACTGTGAAGGATGCGGCCCCAATTGTTGTCAGCTCAAGCGCTGCCACCCAGCAGCCGCGGCTGCCGCAGCAGGATGTGAAGCGGAGGGAGCACGAAGAATACAGGCGCAGGAGGGACGAAGACCCAACTTTTGTCCCCAACCGGGGCGCCTTCTTCCTTCATGATCATAGGCATGCCGGTCCCGCAGCGAATGGGTTCCGCCCTTTTCCTCGAGGGGTTCGTGGGCGTGGGCGAGGGGCGTTTGGGAACCACTTCGCTCCCATTACGTATGTTGACATGCCCCTCTATTTTGGTGGGGAAAGTTTTCGATCGCTGATGCTAATTGTTCCTTCCAGTCAGGTGCACACCGTCCCCGATCCGATCACCAACGGGGTTTGGAAGCATGACATGCACGAGGTTGTCGCCGAGCCCCAACCACCTCGGCCGTCCCGATACATGCCCAATCGTGAAGGCCCCCCGAATGGCAACGGCGTCATCTCGACGGCACCGACGAGCCAGACATCGATCAACCGAGCCATGTCAACGGAGAAGCACATCGGAAACGCAACGATCAAAGTGTTCTTCCCGCCCATGACCGAGCCGAAGCTGTTCCCGGGTGTCCCCCTGAAGCAATACACAAAGCTTCCCGATCACCGTCCGCCTCTTCGTCGCGATAAGCCCGTCCGCGTTTCCATCCCCTACCATGACCCACCCGTCATGCCCCGCTACATCTTCCCGGCCAGTGACAGATCCTTTATCTTTATCCCTCGGGCGATGCGACCAAATCAGCAGCGGTCAAGGGGTGGTAAGGGCCCGCGGTCGGTTATGGGATCGGGCATGTTCTCTCGCGCAACGAGCGTGTGGGGCGGCAGTGTCTATGGGAGCATGTATTCGCCCAGCATCGCTCTTAGTCGTCGGTCGTCCATTGCCCCAGATATTGGGCGTGAGTTTATGCTCTCCCCGACGGGCTCTGCCATTTCGCGACCTCCTCTCCCCGTCGACACCGCCAGGCCGGTTGTCCGCCTTCCCCCGCTTGCCCAGCCGTCGGGTGGTATGTCCATCCCACCCAGGCCGGATTTCTTCCCGAGGGCATTGGAGCAGTCCATTAGCGAGTTGCCACAACCACAAACACACCCGCTTCCCCAGAAACCCACGTTCCAAGAGAACCGGCCAAACGGCATTCCTATGCACCAACCCAGTCCCCGGACGACCGTCTCGCTTGAGAACGTTGAGTTCCCCGCCCAGCAGATGACGAATGCCCCGACACCATACGCCCAGGCCTTCCATCAACAGGTGCCCCCTCAGTTGCCCAACAGCTTCGGCCAGGACACCCAGGCCCGCAACGCCCCGTATCAGCCCCAGTTCACATCAACAACACCTCTGTCACAGATCCCAGAGCGCGCCGTTCACGCAGCCCCCTTCCAACCTAACACATACGCCCAATCCTTCTACGGCCAGCCATATCCCGCGATGCAGCCACAGCAGAACTTCTACTACGCCCAACCCCCATTCGGCGCCAACATGGCACCCAACGCAAACGCACCCGCCTTTGTGCCCGCCGCACAACAACAACAACAACAACAGCAGCAGCAGCAGCAGACCCAACAACAACAACCTGTCGCCTACCCACAGCAGCCAGCCCAAGGCGACGCATCCCAGGGCGTGGTCTCCGCCGAAGAAGCCAACGGCACAGTCTACTACGGCTACTACCCGCAGGTGCCTGCCGCCATGCCAGGCTACCCGCCGTTTTCCCCCGCTGCTGCGGCAGCACAGCAGTATGCCCCTGCCCCTGGGATGGTGGGGATGAATGGGATGATGGCGGGGCGGCGGGGCAGGATCCGACATTTTATTACCAACAGCCAGTATTGTATTATCCTCAGTAAGGGTTGGTCAGAACCGTGGGGCTGGTGAAGGGATGGGTGTGGGGGGATGAGCAGTGGCTGGGGCTTGGGCTTAAGGCTTGAGGCTGGATGAAGGGGTCGGGATGATATGCCGCCGGGCTGGGAAGGTAGTGGAGGAGGTGGGATGGATATGGAGGGCGGGTTGGCTAGGATGTATGACATGGTGGTTGGGGAGGATGGGGTTGGGTGGATGAATGGAGAGAGGGGGAAGGAAGGAGAGAGGTTTTGAGGGGGTATGATGGAGCGGAGCAGAAGTGAAGAGAAATGTGCAGCGGGAAGTGTGAGAAGAGGAGGAGGAGAAGGAGGATCTTTGAGGGTGGGCATCATAAGCCGGTGATGCAGGACCGTCGAGTGTTTTGGAGGGTTATCTTGGCTACGAACAAGCGAAACGACACATCCACGCAGGTGCTAGCGGGCTGTTAGAAGTCACTCATCACCCC